TTTAACTCCCATAAGAATAACATGGGGAGCAAATTTCTTTTACCTATAAGCGGAGTAGGATTATAGATAAATATATCCCGATGCTTGATGGCAAATCTGAGCGTGCATACCTTCAATTTGAGACCTCAATCATGAAAATCGGTCGGGTAGAAGAGCCAAACGAACTCGGAAAAGAAAAACCAAATTTTTTTAATATATAAGATTTTTCAATTTACCAATGACATCCTATTAACTTTTAAAGCAAAAATATTTATTTTATTACTAAGATAATCAATTATTGGTATTCTCTGACCCTTAAAACATAAAATTAGACACAAAAATTATTCTCCTGTCTCTTCTATAGGGAAAGATACAGCAAATATACAGTTTTTAAGCCATCTTGGCCGCCATTTTGAATATTTCAATTTGCTCAAGCAAGGGTGACAAAGTGGCACCCTGCAGATTTTAATTATGTTGGTCTTAAAGAAACAGAAAACACTAAAAAACATTGGGTGAACCTTACTTTCAGGTTTGGGTGAAAAATGCCTTTTGGCAACTAGACTACAATATTAGACTGGCTGATTGAAAATCCTTTTTTCAAATGTAATAGCACCTTACAAGTGTAGTAAGAGCGTTTTTACATCACGCAGGTGAATGTTGTGTTCATCACATAATTTACCTAAGTGATGTAAACACGCTATTGCGTACCGTAAAACGTACAAGATTTTACCTGACCCGACAATGTACAGGAGGTCACGAACAATATTTTTCCTACAGTCACCCGACAAAGTTGGCTTCCTTGTACTGTTTATAGTACAGAAAGCTGCTAATTGCTGCATATTTATACTTTGCCGTACCGTTTATACTTTGCCGTACGGTTTATACTTTGCCGCACATCAGGATTCCAACGAAACAACACAAAACAGCGTGGTTCCATTATGCACGTAATCCGTGTACGCTTGGAAATAGGTTGGCAACACTTAAAGATAATTATACTATGAGCAGCTGATTGACTATTATAACTACGATTTAACCTGTCATTTCGTGTTTATAGTTTCGGTATTTCTGAACTTTCTGGACTTTTCTTTTAAACGTTTTTAAAACCTTCCTACGATCTTAATAAACAAGAAAATACCTTTTAAGCATTTTTTTAGGCGCGGAAACCACTTCAAATTATAAAAACATACGGAACTATATTCTCAAAACGCGGAGCACATTTCTTGCCGAGGAAAAATAGCGGAGTGATATGGACCGCGGGTACTACTTTCTCTAGGGCACCATTTGTGTTGCCAGCTGAACCTAAAAACGTGTTGCATAGTGTTTGAAAGACTAATTATTTATATGCTTTATAGTGAGTGAGTAGGAAAAATATAATGTGTAACACGAGTGAAAAAGGCCTTTGCTGCACTCGAGATCATTCCACACTCGCCTGCGGCTCGTGCGTAAACATTGCTCTCGTGTGCAGCAAAGTGCCACTTTCACCACTAGTTACACAAATAACTATTTCATTATCCATTTCACTCATCTTCTAACAGTAACGTTCATTTACAAACAAAAGCTAGGTTAGGAAAATTCTTCAAAACATAACAATAAAATTCAAGCGCACAGCTGATTTCTAGCGTTGAACGTCGTTGGCTCCATAGAGGTATATTTTTTAAGTTAAGCACTCAATGTTATTTAAATGGGTCTCATGTTACATCACCGAGTGAGTTTTTTTCAACTTTACATCACTCGAGAAGTAACGAAGTTATATCATAGACTAACCAACACAAGTAGACTTCTCATCCCATTGTAAATTTTGAAGCACGTTTTTCATGTCTAGTTCATGTACGTGACACAAAGGTGCTAGTGTCGATGAAACTTTGTTTCCATTATTTTAGGGTTAATTTCTTGATTTGTGCTTTACTGTTTGGTTATATAACTATAGGACGAGTTATTGTTTATGATTAATCGTATTATTTGGTTAAACGAGGTTTTAATTGGCTGTAATAACGGGAAACAAATTGTAAACAAAACACGACCTCTACATAAACCGTACATGAACTAACAATAAAATTGTATTCAGCTGTTCCATAAGGATGAGAAATCTACTAAGGGAGTATCTTTTATCTATGGTTATATATGGTTGGTTATATACATCACGCTTGGGATAGGGAAGTTAACATGGCGGGTTAGGTAAAGAGTTTTTTGACACTGTATTTAGTTAAGTAAGTTTTCCTCTGAACAGCCTGTTTCCTGTTTTTGCATTTTGCATGAACTGCATATTGGTTTGCTTTGTATTATCATTATTTTGTGCATGGTCTTTTGTTTTTTTTTGTTTTGCACATGGTTGGTTTTGATCGATTTTTGCTTGGTTTGATTTTTAACTCTTGATATTTATTTTATTTTATGCTTGTACACTGACATAGGCTGTAACAATATTGTTGATTGGCCAAATAAAATCATTGTATTCATTGTACTCATTACTCATTGTATTCATTGTGCCATAATGTCCCATGAGATACCATGGCAGAAAGGTGACACCAGCTCATTAATTCGCGTATTATTAATTTAAATTTATAACCATAAATGTATTAAAATATTAAAAAAAAAAAACATATAGAATTGAAAACCAAAATAATATTTAAATTGAAAATCTATTTTTGTATATTTAAAGTGGAGTCAATATTTTCATAACCCAGTAATCAAGCTTTGTATATTTAAAGTGGAGTCAATATATTTTCATAACCCAGTAATCAAGCTTTCATATTTTAAAAAAATACCCAAATAGCGAATACTAGAAAAATGCCAGTACCTGGACATGGAAACTATAGATGTACCTACTGGCTTTATTTTCTTTTAGCAATACCCAAGTGATTTGTACCGGTAATGTAAAATACTAATTATAATATGGTTTTAAAATTCCTGTTATTCCTGATTCTAATAGATTTTGATCTCACAGCATCCCCCTTAAATTTCAATTACAGTTATTTCTCAGAAAAAATTAGTATGTTGTAGCCCTTTCAAAATGGTTCGACTATCATTTCTGTAAAAATTACGGTTTCAAAGTTATTATAAATTATTGCTATTTATTTTTTGTAGTATGTTATATGGTCCTTAACATTTTGAAGAACTTCCATGAATTTTGATGGTTTTTCTTTTTTTTAATTTTAATTTTAATGGGGATTTTCTCATAAAACCCCATAAAATAACGGAAAATCAGATTTTCTTAAAAATGGCCAAAACAATTTTCTTTAAGATTTAGTATTTTAACCCTTTAAATTCTGAACAAAATGGTACTGTACAAATCCCATTTCCATAAAAATTATAGTTCAAAATTTATTGTAACTTATGTTATTTTCTCATAAAAAAAACATAAAATAACCAAAAATATCTTATTTTAGGAGAAAAGCTGCTTTTGATCAAAATTAATATGTTATGGTCCTTATAATTCTAAACAAATAGTACAACACCCCATTGCTGTAACAATTACGGTTCAAAAGTTATTGTAACTTTTGTGATTTTTAACTATAAAATAACAATATTTACTCTCACCCCATGAAAAAGGTTGTTGACAAGGGAGAAAGTATGTGTCAGAATGCTGATGCTGTTTATTTATTATTATCTTGCAAATACTGTCATGGCAACCAATTAACACATAAGGCCCAAGGCCCATGATAAATTTCAAAAAAAGTTTATATTCGTGTAGGGAAAAGCCTCGTTTGTCTGATTTATACCATTTCAGATTTATACATTGCTATAGTTCGTTACTATGCCTGCCCTAAATTTGGCCCTGATCCCTTCAGCCGTTCAGGAGCAGTATTTGTAAAACAACAGCGGGAGTGTAGTAAGAGCTCATCACTTGCTTTGCTCACTCCGCTCAACAAATATTTTCTCCATAAGGATATGTGTGTGTGTGTGTGTCCATTAGCGATAACTCGAGCAAAAATAATCTTATTTTGATTAAATTTGGTACAAACTTGTAAACCTACATTTGTTTAAACGAATTCGCGAACCAGCATGGCTGGACTATGGGATTGGAAACGGGGGTCTATGGTCTATGGGGGTTTTATAGGGTAAAAATTGGGTTTTCCAATTATCACCCTTAAAACATATTTCTCATTTGTTTCTAAACAATTTTGTAGACACCTTAAAAAGAAATGATTTAGTATATGGAAACGTTGTTGTATGCCTAACAATCACAGAAAAAAGGGTTTAAAGCAAAAATCTAAAATTCATATTTTATTCTTATGGATAATAAATTAACTGTGGTACCTGTATGTTTACTTGTTTATGGATATATTTTTATCAAATTTGGCAATTTTGTTTATTTCATACTAAGCTATCAACATTCCAATAAAAAATCACACCTTTACCTTCCCTGTAGCAGCAAACCTAAGTACTCATTCAAATTATTTATATAGGAAAAATAAGTATAACAATTTTAAGGAAATATTTCAGTGGAAATCCAAACCGACAAATGGAAATTGGCTTAGTCTACAGTTTGCTGGGCAGAAAGGGGGGGGAGGGACTTATCCTTACGCTGATAAAAAATTTGTGATGGAATTTTACCCTCTAGCTGTAGTTACCAAGGAACAAATTTCTTATCAAGTCATTTGGTACAAAGACAGAATAAAATAACAAAGTTAATTAAATGCATTTGAACAATTTTATCAGAGGTCTCTTTGATATGGTTTGATATTGAATCGCCCCCCAAAAAAACTAATTTTCTCATTTGAGAAAATTCCCTCTTCGGTTTAACTAACAAAGATGCTAACTACAAGGTGCCAAAATCCATGTCTAACACCATGATAATGAGCCTTAAATGATGCCTGCTGTATAAATCTTTAGCCTTCCAAAATCTATATGGTTAAAATTTAGTTATGTTACTTGGTTAAATTTGTTCACAACTTTATAATAAATTGTTGTATTAACTCTACAAGTCTCATACTTTGTCTTAGGTTAGCTAAACTAAATTTTGCTTACTTTTGTTGTAAGGTTTGTTAATGCAATGGATAGAAAAGAAAGAGAAGAAACAACTATTATATTGACAACTTTAGTTTATTTACAAATATATTCAACAACACAAATAACTCATTCAGGAAACAGACTTTATGTAGCTATCTGAAGCAAAGAATATATTTTTTACTATGAGTAAATTACACACAAACATTACTAACTTACAAAACATTACAAAACAAATTCATACTAACATTTAAAACAAACATGATCTATTTCCTCAGTGAGCAATAAATTAATTCATATCAGTCTTACGCAAGGTTTTAGACCTCTAATCTTACTTCTTCTTCTCCTCTTCCTGCTGTGGTTGAGGTTTGGCTGCTTTGACGACTGGAGCGTTGGTTTGTGTGATCGGAATATTCCTGGCGTTCTTCTCCTGGAGTTTCTTAGGAGCGTGCAGCTGCAGAACTCCGTCAGAAGACAACGTAGTCTGCAGCGCACTGGTGTCGACATCGTCTGGCAGGCAGTAACGACGAGTGAACTGTCGAGAGACAAACCCGTGGTTGTCTCGACGCTCCTCGTGCTTTCCCTCAACAACCACGAAGTTGTCGACGACCTTCACTGACAATTCTTCAGGCTTGAACTGTTGGACGTCCAAACTCACCTGGAAAGTAAATATTATGTTAGGATACATTAATCTATGTAGATGGTGAGTCGGTGGCTCAGTTGGTATAGTACCATGTATTACAGGCCTAAATGACAGCAATGTCGTGGGTTCGGATCCTGGTACCTGCTACTACTTTTTATCAGTACAGTTCACGCTTCCATTTTCCAGATCACCCCTTGCTTCTCTGGATAGCTCTAGTGGCTCATGTCGACAGGCAAATGCAAGATAAAAAAAGTTCCCGAACCTCTTAAATAAAAAAAAACTCCTTTTTGTCCTCCTTGGTTCACTTAAAGAAATTCTGATTTGTATGACATTAAAATATGTTAAGCCGTTTCTATTTGAAAGAATTCATTAACCAGCTAAACTGAACTCAATTAGTAAAAACACACATTCAGATTCGGTGATTTAGAGTGAAGTGGGCGATACGATCCAGAGCGAGCTAAAGCAGAGGGACTGAGGTCACACCCATACAGCGACTAGCAAGAGTGAGAGCGACACGAACGGAAGCTCGATCAGTTCCAAGATCTCACGAAGAATAGTAAGTTTGCGCTCAATTTGCAGCACAGCGAAAACAATAAATTTGGTTTTAAACATTAATTTTGCGCACTTCAAACTGTTTGGAGTAGTGCATAAAGTGAATGAATGAAGGGAGGTGAATGGTGAATATCACTATTTGTTTCCAGTTCTTAAGAAGCGATTGCACGATTCGTGCAATGAGTGAAAATTTAAAAACGTACGTTTTCATGTCCCTGGCCTTTTACTTCGTAGATACTGGATTTGTAGTTTATTATTATGTGTTTTAATATTTTTTGGGATGGGGGCAACATGTTACACACATTTATTTGGTTTTAAATAGGTTCTAGGTATTTTTTTCGTATTTTTAAAGTCTCGAAATTCACGACCATGACGTGTCCCTAGGGTACATTCTCCAACTTTCACGCTGTTTTTAGACTAATTATTCATGCCAAAATATATAATGCCATATTTTTATGTCATCAATGGTTATTAAACTTACAAAAAAGGAGCATATTATAATTTTATTGTCATTACAAACTGACTACCATGACAAAATAAGTCTGTCCCTCGATTTGGCGTCACGACCATTTGGGAAAAATTTTCAACTTTGGAGCACGACAGTGGCAAGCCTGGCGTCGATGGAGTCAGTTGGTTTTAGAGACTAGTTCGGGGTGTACGTCAGGATTGTAGTGCCGGTCGTTTCGAGTTGAAAGGAGGAATTACAAGATTAATAAAGGAAAGATTGTGTTTTTTGTAATTTTGGTGTGTCCATGACCGTACGTAGTCATTCGATAAAGTAGACATGGTGTTAATTTTTGTTTATAAGATATTTCAATTGCTAGAATAACCTAGAAGTCCACTTTGTATCCTCGAACATGAGGTGCAGGCCTACCGCCAGAACAGAGCCAAATAACACGTAATTTCACGACCAAAGTTTCACGACCATCGCGGGTTTTTTCACGACCAATCCAGCCTTATGGATTATAGTGTGTTTGGTCGTGACAATAACTTTAATATAATTGTAAATAGAACAGTTTAGTTCAATTGAAACACATATTTTTATTATAACTAACAGGATAATTGAAGTATTGTTAGAAAGATTTAGATTATTCCAGACAATTCACGACCGTTCCGCTTGTCCCTGACCATCACGTTTATGATTTCTATCATAAAAATTTCAAAAATTAACATATCGTCATATTTCAATGTTTTATACACAAAAGAAGCACACCTCTATACAAACATAACGATTTTTTTGGGTCTCAGGTAAGTTTTTTCGGAGTTATACAAACTTAAAAAGATTTTATAGGCTTTTTTTAATTTTTTGAGTTTTTTATTTTTTTCTAGAAAGACCAAATATACAAAAAGCTCAGTGACCTTTTTATTATATAATGGTCATAAAAGTAAATTAGTTTTTAGCAAAATATAGTTATAAAAATAATATTAACTATTTTTAATATTCATTTAAACGTCCGTTATGGTCGTGACAGGATTTTGTGTTTTTCTACTAAAGATGCTATTTTAAAAAGAAACTACCAAAGATATTGCGTTACCATGGTCATTTTATGAAACTTCAAATGTTAATGAATTAAAAAAAATAATAAAAGTTTTGAAAAAAGGGGAAAAAATTTGCAAAGTGCTTTTCCTGAAAACGTACGTTTTTAAATTTTCACTCATCGTCTATCCTCATATGTTAGACTGCTAAACTTAACCAAAACAATAATCACAAAATTCAAGTTGGCCTATATAGATGTATATATGACAATTAATGACCTACAGTGACTAGAGCAGACTGACTCAAGACAAAGTAGTTGCCCGCTCCACTTTCAAACGCTCGAAAAAAACAAACGATATTGTTCCAAAGTTAATCGCTCCGCTACGCTCTTAACAGCTGTCTGTGTGTGCTACTACTTAGGAATGTATGGGTTTGATTTAGTCGCTCTAAATCACGCCGCTCCGCCATGCACCGCTCTGCTTCCAAAACCTTTAAAAAAAAATCATTGATTACTGTGATATTTATAGTTCAAAATGCATTACATTGTCTTAAATGTTATCTTACAAAATGATCTATTGATAACATAGGGTGCTTCAATATTTAAAATTTTTGTAGACCGCCAATTGTATGTAAGAGGATAGATTTATCTTTAAACTTTTACTTTACAAACCTTTATAACTTGAATTGCAATTGAATAGATTATCCTTTGGTAAAATTTACTTTTTAAAATTTGTAAAACTATTTTGTCTAGTTACCTTAAAGTTCTTCTTATCATTGACAATGGATGCGCCAGGCTCCAGTTGGTTTAACAGTTTCCAGGGCTGCATTTCCAACATGGACGGTGTAAGAGGCATCCCGAAGTACTGGTCGTACATCCTTGGGCGCTCAAGTTCGCGGATCAAGTCTCGCATTAGGTACGGAACCAGCGACATCTGCAACAGTTGACTTTAGATTAACATTCTCTCTTGTTGATGTTATAATCCTTATGGATCAGAGCCGATGATTGTAGATATTTTTCCATGTGCTTTTGTTGTCAACTACTTGTTTCTTGTTACAACTACATCAACATTCAACATATGTTTGTTTTAAGTTTGCTTGAATAATGGTTCAATATGACAAAAAATATAGTTCATCACACGTGCATAAGTGTCTTTTCAACCCTCGCCCGTGAAACTTGAGTTCAGATCGAAAAGAGTCACTTTACGCCCTAGTGATGGACTATACTATTAAGAATGCTTGTACAAGGGTTTCCTGAAAGTGACAGACGTTTAGGCCTGGCGTGGCAGTGGGCGGGACTACGACTGCCATCTAGGCCCTACACTCCCTACACTCAATACGCAATCGATCATGGTAAAAAACTAATTTTTATGCATTAAAAACGACAATTATAATTACCATATTGGATAAAATGTTATCTAACTACTTCTAAATCTACTTGCATGCTTTGTAGTGTTTGAAAATGAGTGAATTCCTTACATGGTAAGAGCGTGTGTGTGGTTTTTGAAACAAACCCTGAGAAGATCTGCTAAGGGGTTTCAACTTCTTGAAAATTGAGCTGGTAGAACGCATGACGGGCATAAGGGACATTGTGTTTTTGGTACCTAAAAAAGGTGACGATACTTGTTATTTTTTACTACATTGTAATTTGGTAATTTGATCTTATTTAAATTGGCAAAATAACGTTTTAACAGAAAAAAAAGTTGAGAGAGGTAGAAAGCAGCGAGAGGGTAAAGTATTTTTGGATAATTGTGTCAAGACAACATGATGAGAGAAGATCGAGGGATATTAAGACAATACGTGTTTAATAATTAATTTCCCTTATTCAGGGGCATAGCATTGGTGAGGGGGGGTAGAGGGGAAACTCCCCCCTCCAGAATCTGGGAGAGAGAAAAGCTGGGGATTGCCACGAGTTGGGACGGTTGGAAAGTCAGAGATATAAAAAAATATATTTTTAAATTAAATAAAATAGATTTGAGAAAATTCATCCATATATTTGACTTGGACAAATAAACTTGATGTTTCTTCAACTTGCATTTAACTTTGATTAAACAGGCTAAACACATCTTAATTTAAGAAATCAATAATCAATTAGCGGTGTAGTTTGTGAATTTCGTTGCGACAAATTTTAAATTTTGTTCCTTATTGGACGCATGTTGGCTACCCTGGTCCTGTCCTGTGTTGATGATTCGTCTGCGAGACCGCAAGTTTGAAAGTGCAGCTCTTTAGTTGTAGTATAAGTTGTATAACTATGCATAAGTTGTATGAATAAGTGTATTATCCACCAAGTCAAACGTTTTTATTTTATACGAGTCTGTATTCTACAAGTTTTATTCTTGTCTAGACTATACTAATATTATTCACAAAATACAACAGTGATATTAATATTTCATAATTACAAACTTGTTTGCCTAGTTGTAAGTTTTATGAAAATTAAAATGTTGATCTTAATATTAATTTCTAAAAGTATTTTAATTTCATTGTTTTATAATAATATATTTTTCCCATACCAATTTGTACTAGGCCTATTTTATATCCATAAATTGTACACTGCTACCTATGTCTGCTACCACAATGGTTTGTAAAGTTTGTTGGATTTGAAACAATATTTATTCAAGTTTTTTGAGTCATAAAACTTCATTACGAATTTGTAAAACTTTAAAATGTGTTTTGAATTGAGTACGGTAATTTTTTATACATGTAAAACACTAGTTATGTGTTGTTACAAGTTAATAAATACTGAATTGATTGTGACTGCAGTGTAGTATAATAATTTGTAGATTTTTTAAATAGTACCGTACAGAAATTGATTTCTTAAAATAAAAAAAGAGTTGGGAATTCTATGTTAAGCAGTTAGGAAAATTGAGGTCCCCCCCCCAAGGAATTTTCCCAAGCAATGCCAAACTGCATTGGTGTTAGGGTTTTAATTCTTTGGTGTTTGAGTACCTACATACTGTACTGAAAGTCCAAAAATCCAATTAACCCATTTGCATTGTCTTATTTATTTACCAAAAATACCAGTATCTCTGAAACATTAAAAAGAAAATATATAAATTTGATTATGATGTGTTATAGTATTTTACAACTGAAAAATAATAAATATATATATGCATATACTCTATATGCCTCAACCATAATCAAAACCTCTTTCAGGGTTCAATGTGCTACTACTATAATTAAACTGTACGAGTGAGCTAGGATGAAATACTACCTCTACAATGGTTTTTGATTAGATTAAATTATCCTACACAACAGGTGATCTGTTAAAATAAATATTAAGTATGCCTAAGAGTAAAAACATACAAAAAAAAAAAATTAGTATCATACGAAAGTAAGGTCGTAAAACACAAAAACATGTTGCATCCTTTGTAAATTTTATCAGTATATTTGAAATTTTTTGTTTTTTCTTGCAATATGTGGGATACATTAAAAAAATGTTTTATTAAGGATAACTTTTGCATCAGGAAGAACCTTCTGGAACTGAACACACTAACAATCATGCTCTAGTATTCTCAAAGAAAATTATTACGGTATTGTAAACATCGCCTATTTTCAAACTAATTTGTGCATTGTAAAATTGTAATTTCAACAAATTTACAGTATAATCTGTAAAAATACTGGATGTACCAAAACCAGGTTTAACTAAAGAAAATACCGGTATCCAAAGCATGTTGATTCCTGCAATAGAGCGCATCATGCTTTTACTATTTTTAATTTAGAAAAACCAGCTAAAAATAAATAATTTTAATATTGAATACTTAATAGTATTTGATACAAAACCCTGCCGACCTGCCATTGTACAAATGGGAAAACAATGAAAAAAAAAATCATTTTTTACATTTTTAAACATGTTTTGTATTGAACTATTGACTCAACGATTTAATTTAAACTGTTTAAATTTTTCAATCATAATCTACAAGATTATTACCTAATGCTATCAACTAAATCTGTAGACAATAACAAAACATACTAATAAAAATAAACACTTACTTTTAGAATTTCAGGAACACCAACGACAATCAGTAACTAACGTGAACACTGTCAACTCTTGTAAATTCTTGTATCTTGTGTCAACTCGAACTCACAACAATGACTGACTTGCTTCCACTACAGAACGCGTTTATATTGAGTAGTCAACGCATCTCGAACGTTCCAGTGTTCTGTGCGTTTCCACCCCTACCCAACATAATCATTCCCTCTCTCTCACTCTCTCTCCCTCTCTCTCTCTCCCACCTTCTGTCCAAACTGTCTTATCATATAATTATCTCTCTCTCTCTTTTCTCGTCTCATCCAGACAGTTCCATGTTCTACGCGTTTTTAGGCTGTTTCATCATCCAGTGCCAGCTGAATCATGAATCTTCTGGTTGATTTTCCATTGTTGATTGTTGAATGTTGATTTGTGTTTGCTACATTATAGTGTATGAAAATTATAGAGAGTTTGAATTAAATTTAAGGTACGAAATTGGTTTATTTCTAGATGCATCTTTGAAAGCGAAGAAATTCTGTTTACGCTGTTAAAACAGATTTTGATTGGAAGCAGAAAGAAAATATTTAAAATTACCACCAAAACAAATAAAAAATACAAATACAAATTAAAAAAAAATGTTTTTGCAAACAAAACAATACATATTAAAGACTTGTTTTACAAAAGTACAGTCATCAGAATTATAACACTGTTTTGTATTACATTTTTTTACAATTACAATAATACTATATTCACCATAATCCATTACCATTACCATAAGAGAAATGCTATATGTAGTAAAAAAAAACTAAACTGATTCCTCCCTCATTACACAGTGAATCAAATCTGCAAATTATACTTTCACGATTACTAAATCGAAATTGAGATGTTAGATCAGGGAAAGGCGGGAATTATGTGGATAGACATAGAGCGCACATTCTAGAATACCAGTGGCGGATCTAGAAGTCACAAGGGGGGGGGGGGTGAACTGATGGGGTTCGGGGGTACCCCCCAAAGAATTTGTGTAAACTCTAAGTCTCTCAAGTCTCAAATGGCAGTTTTATACCATTTATTTGTCCAAATGTAAAATAGTAAGTATTTACCGGACGAGTGTGGTTGTTCCCGTGCGAGACGAAGTCGAGTACCGGTACGGGATTACCATACGAGTCCGGTACACACATTTTGGACGAGTTACGTACGGTAGTTTACGCCATACTACTAAATCTGTACAAATCCTTATATATTTCCACCAACTAAAGGACTAAAAATCACTAAGACCAACTAAGTAGAGGTTATGTTTTTGTTTATAACCAACCACGCATTGCCACCTAAATACAGAATAATCAGCTGATTGGTGTCCGGTAAAACCAGGTAAAACTCATTGCAGAACAGTAGTACGCAATGAAACCCCATTTGAATAAGCTGGCGGCAAACAGCTGTTTTCTGGACTAAATCCTTGCGTGGGAAGTTCGTCAAAATAATTTAGTGTGGCGTAATAGTATATTACGTTACTAGTCCTGAAAATAAGTGTTTACCGGACGAGTGTGGTCGTTCCCGTGCGAGACGAAGTCGAGTACGGGATTACCATACGAGTCCGGTAAACACATTTTGGACGAGTTACGTACGATAGTTTACGCCATACTACTTAATGCCTACAAATCCTTATATATTTCCACCAACTAAAGGACTAAAAATCACTAGTCATAATCTCTAAGAGAGGTTATGTTTTTGTTTATAACCAATCATTGTCACAGCAAATACAGTTTAATCAGCTGATTGGTGTCCGGTAAAACTCATTGCAGAACAGCATTACGCAATGAAACCCCATTTGAATAAGCTGGTGGCAAACAGCTGTTTTCTGGACTAAATCCTTGCGTGGGAAGTTCGTCAAAATAATGTAGTGTGGCGTAAAATTATTATTAAGCAATGTGTATATGCACTACTGCATTACATGCAGTAATATATGTCCGAGGGGGGGGCGACTGCCCCCTTCACCCCCCCCCCTTTGGATCCGCCACCTACACCATTCTATTGTAGTGAGGCACCATTTATACTCATGGGATTTATTTTTAAATACAAAAACTCCCGCCGCAGCAAACTTCACAGTGGGTATCTGTAATTATTGTAAATGATCACCACTCATTCTACACTGATCTCCATTCATACTTGGCTTTAAAATACCTACCTTTCATGGTCACCATTTCAGTATAACGTATTTAAATTAGTATTATAGTATAGTAATTTTGTACTGACCTGGCTAATACAAATTGTGTTATTGTTAATTTGGTCAAATAAATTGATTTGATTTGAAGGATACAATCACTACAAGTTCCTCAAGCAGCAATTTGATCAACAAAAGAAATAACCCCTCTCCCTTATTCCGTTGCAAAATAATGAATGTCTCCCTCTATATACGCATCCGTAGTCATACGTTTTCCATCCTACTGGCAAAAACGGTGATTCTTCATTGAATGAAGAAAACACGTAGGGAATTAGGAATTAGTCGATGGTGATCCGGTTCTACCTGTTGTCTGGACTATCTTTTAAGGATTATATAAAATTCTGGATTGCACTTTGTTGTGATGAACGGTTAAATTTACTACACTATATCGATAAAACTATTCAAGCTATAAACTGGGCGGAATATTTAATAGCCTACGGTATATATAAATAGAAAGGCGTTTTAACAGCTTATACAACCGAGCGCCTGCGGACAGGATAACACTATAAGCAGCACTGTTGTGTACGTATTTTAGTGTCTACAAAATTGCAGGATCCGAGTAAAACATTGCCTTGGCATTATTATCTTCTGTTAACCCTGGTCAGCATTGCCTATTTGGATCTTTTATTTTATTACTATGGCTATATTCTTTAGCAAATGTTAATTAAGTAAACTGGTATATTGTATTTTAAGTCCTTTAAAATACTTCGCACTTAATTAAAAAACATAATTGACGTTTCCAGTAGGAAACACTGTTGAGTGTTGGTATATTCTGTTTAGAAATTGTGACACATAATGTTTAACAATTATGCCTAACGCAATGATATTTATGGGAAAAATGTTTTTAGTTGATAACGATAACCTGAAAACTGAAAGAGCCAGGATAAAGTTTAAATGATCATTTATAGGAATTGTAAAACCTTTGAAATTTTTCCATTTTACATATGACACACTACTTTGTTTATTCTTAAATAGCATATTTTTCGGCAAATTTCCCATAAAGGTGATACATTACCTAGACCTAGACCTGGGACTACTTTACTTTTTTGTTTTGATATTCCCAGAAGCCATAAACCAATATATTTACTGTATATAACATATTATTTCATATATGTGTCTGTTAGCACTAGCACTATGACTGGAGAAACTAGATTTTGATGTTCCCATACAAAATATAGGCCCAAGATTCCCAGCTTTTTTTCTGGTCATCAAAAGTCATGCTATGTGCACAATAAGTTGTTCCAGCTGCGATGCAACACCATATGGTTACCGTACTTGGAAGCCTGTCCCTCTGTTTAATAAAAAAAGTTATGATCAGTTCTTAGTTTTCCCGGTTGGATGGACACCTAGACAACCTACAGAACATACAAAAATTTTGTTTAAAACAAATGATATTTTAATTTCCTTTTGCATAAATGAACCATCTTAGCTAATGACATCTCTTAAGTTTAAAAAGAAGAGTAATACGTATACCAATTCTCATCTTACAGCACTAAACAGCTTCTACTTTAACATCAACAACATCTTCTTAAATTTGAGTAAAAACTGCATGCCCAGCTGCAATCTGTAATTTTTTAACAGCTAGATTAGGTTTCCATAGAAATGCAAATTAAACAGCAGGGTGTTATGAAATTTTTTAATTATGGAGGTTATCCACATGGTTCTACCCTTTAATTTAAGTGTGAGTTAATCCTATACCCTTAGGCCTATATGAGCAATGTTTGCTTGTATATGCTTGCTTGCACAAAGATCTTGAAATCGGCTTTGGCAATTTCCTTGAAATGTTGTAGATAATTTATTTTCTGCCTAAAAACGTGAATGACGACAGCCACTACGATACATCAGGAAAATTTGTATTTTGCTACACAACTCATTTTAAAATTCAAAAGATACACATTGGCCTTATAGGTTGCCAAGTAACTAGGGGTGTACAATGCATCAAAATTCTGATTCGATTCAAGGGTGGTCAAAAAACGATTTGATTCAAGAAGGAATCAGTATCCATATTCTAAAAACGCCTGCAGAAAGTCAATGCAATACTCGCAATACTGGAATGTGTTGTTACGTTTCCTTTGCATTTAATAAAAATAACGATTTAATTGAAACTAGAGGACCCATGCTGCTCCGCAGCGTTAAGCTAAGAACCATTCAAATTTATGATTTTCGATGATTAATACAGTATCTTGATACTGATTCAAACAATCAATAGCTCAATTTAAAGCCTATAATTACTCATTGATTTGAGTCTAAAACATACATGATCAATACTGGAGCTATTGATTTTTAGTCATAGAAAAACCTTATGAATAATAATGTTTGTGTCCCTGCGTTTGCTTGAAACTTGTCCGATTTGAATAACTAATACAGTAGCTTAAATGAATGCAGGTATTTGACTGAAGGTTCTTAGACCAAAATATATAGGATTGTATAATTATAACTGGTAAAATACATCTTAAATTGAAGTAAGAATTCAAAAATGAATCAAATTATGTTTTTCGGTCAAATAGTACAGTAGGTAAATATATGCCGATGCATTTACTTCGATGAAAGATGCTTGATGTAAAATCTTTGCGTGTATGCCTTCAATTTAAGACATCAATCATGAAAATTGGTCAGGTAGAAGAGCCAAACGCACTCGGAAAAGAGAAACCAAATTTAAGAAATACATAGGGTGAAAGTTTTGTTGACGTAAAGCCGAGTGGGGTTAAAAGATAAATATATGTCCATGCTTTATGGCAAATCTGTGTGTGCATACCTTCAATTTGAGACCTCAATCATGAAAATCAGTCGGGTAGATGAGCCAAACGAACTCGGCAAAGATAAACCAAATTTAAGTCCCATAAGATATACATGGGGAGCGAATTTCGTTTACGTATATGCTGAGTGGGATTATAGATACATTTATGCCGATGCTTGATGGAAAATCTGTACGTGCATACCTTCAATTCGAGACCTCA